AGTGCATCATTCATGTTGTTAATCGGGTCAATTGTAGCATATTTATATCTCAGTTGTGGTGCGGATATTTCATTAGTCCTTTGAGGGAGTTGAACGATGTCTTCCACTTTTTCCTTACTTCACAGCATAGCTGAGTGCTGTACAAATATCGAGAATTAATGCGTCCACAAATCCTTAGCAACTTCTTGCAGACAAGGTGGTGCAATTGCTTCTACTCCAGTTGTACGATTCGATGTTGTTGTTTACTTTTCGTAATTGTTAATATGTATGATCTATTCGAGAGATAGAAAAAAGGACAATAAATCCCAAATATGTATGAAACCCATCGAAATGTAGCGGGGGCTAATCCCTGCGCTTCCTCATACCTGGGTCGAAGGTTCCGGCTCTACTCGACTTCATGGTGAACGTCTGGTTTTTGTCAATCGAAAAATGGTCTAAATATGCATTGAAATAACCGAACCACCACGACTCAGGACGAAATTTGAGTGAGAGATATTTTCCAAGAGAGGGTTGACCAGGCTATTACTGGTTATCCTCTCGTTGTCAACCGTGTGGTGGGCTGTAACCGTCATATCGCATGAGCTCATAACTATTTAGATAAAACGGATCAGAGCAACTACTGCTGAACCTGAGCTAGCCGTTTTTCTTGAAGCTATAGCCATTATGATCCCTTATTTTCGCCAAGATCAATGCGACCTTCCTATCGAGCAATCCTCGACCGTGGCTCACCCCGTGTTTACCTCTTCAATGCACCAATACCTGTGATGAACACCTTTTAGATCAATATCATTTGCACCTTGCTCTCCAAAGGCATCGCAATTGTGGCATGTGGGTATTCATAAGAAGGTTGCCACCGGATTTCCTTCAAGAAACGACCGCTCACTGAAAATAAACTTGAAACGTATGGGGTCTTTTATACACAGCTCATAAGAACCCTTGTCGCTTTCGATCCTCAGCAAACGCTCAGAGGAAAAGACCGTCTTTGGCTAAGAACTCATCATTGGGAATAGTTTTAAGGTGAAATCACTTCAGGCTGCGCCACGTATTCGACTTTCACTCGAATGCGAGTGCGTGGCCTAGAAAATAACTCGCAGACCTAGTTTGCCTGATCCTGTTTCCTGACCAAACTTTACAAACCTTAACCCAAAGATAAAGTACATAGTTATTACTATGAAATTAAATGAAGTAATGTGAGCAAAATTACATATGTTAAACGAAATCAAATAAAATAAAACAAGAAGTAAAGTATATTTTACAGTTTGATCCAGCCAAGTCTTCGCTTATAAACCCAAATCGAGATACATATGTTGCTCTGTAATTCGCGATTAAGGGAGAACCATAATACTCTCCAGCCAACTGCTATTTATCAGTATTGAAGTCACTTCATCAGAAGGTTTTCTCAAGAAGTTGGACAAAAATGAGGATTCAAAAAAGATTTTCTGTATTATTTTTATATCATTATACTACGTCTATTCGATATTACTGCACAAAAGGCGGTCACTTCATACCATGCAGGATATTACGCCCGTATATCACCTCACACAGCGACCACCCACAACAGAAAACCCTGGACAGCAAGCGTTCTCGCACGGCTCCATCACTGTTCGCTCTCTGGAAAAGATTCTTATAGTTACTGAAGAACAATTCCTGAGTTCATCCCTACACTCAGGGAAAAAAGATTCAGTAAAAATAATACGATTTGGCTTTTCAAATAAAACGATGCTTCATCATTGTGGAGCATTTAACGACACCATTATGTTGACTGAAAGCTGTCTGCTGAGGTATTTACCTGGGCGGAGGACTAATCGAGTCGACATTTCGAGGGTTCGTTCAAGAATTATTGCGTCTTGCGGAATTATGTTGGGACAAACTGTTCGGACTGTTTCGGAGATATTCTCACTTATTTCTACATACCCAGCCTAGGCTTTGCCATCAAATAAATTATCAGGTGGTGAGGTCGTGCCACAATGTTTCAGTCCTGGTGGGTGCAGTGACCTACAAATCCATACAATGTGGTTTTATTCGAAGTCTGCGGCCCTATCTCGTTTCACGTTTGCGAATTTGAGACTGAAGCATGTCCGGTAGCGGTGAAATGGTAGCAAGCATCTTCTCAAAGCATCACCAGTTCCTTATAAGGAGCTATTTGAATTACTTTGACCATACCAAGAGGGCCACTTAGGAATGTTGAATATGGCTTAAAGTCGTTGGAATGGAGAAGATTAAGGTATGACTTGCTTATGACTTTCAAAATTCTAAGGAGTCTTGTTAACTTGGACGCATCTGACTTTTTCCCAAGTGCTGCCGTGCAGCAGAAGAAGTGGTGCATCGATTAGGCTGACAACGTCTTTTGCTAGAAACCGATGCAGGTCGAACTTCTTTAGCAATAGAGTGCGTTCTTATTTTAATCGTATTTTACGCTCCTAATTTGTTCTCTTTGAAAGTATGTTACGTTTAAGAAAAGCATTGGTGAGATGATTGATTTGAGTTGGAGGCTGTTTTTGTTACTTGGTTGATGTTTCTGTTACTGTCTTTACTTGATTGTTCCGTTACATGTGTGTTGCACATGTCCATAAATAAATAAAAGTAAATAAATGGAATAGGGATACTGGAATGAACTCACTGCATTGCACGGACCCTCGAAAAGTAAATTTGCGCAATGAATCGGCGCCGCAATTCCACTCTGTCTCTGTTTTTTCTTCGTTTCCTTATGTGGCGCAGACCCATTGCATCGGATGAGTGGTTGCATGCAGACTTAGGTTCATCGTTCACTGGCTGTCCTCTACTGAAAAAAGTCACATTATGGCGTCTGACCGGACAAGCGAGTTTCTGGAGAACATTGCACGGAACATTTTTGTTTCCAAGAAAAGAATCCTTCATGGTAACATTTTTTGAAATGAGTGCACTTGTTAGTTCAAACGGAAGTGTAACGAGTGAGGTTAGCTATGTGGGAGGTATGAGTAGTGGGCCCTCCTGACATGAAACAAAGCTTGGGTTGCAGTCCGATCCCTTACTGGTTGCCGCTTTGGGCTCTAAATGAATCGTCTCATCCAGACCCATTTAATTTAAACCTTATCTGTCATTTATGAATGCATGCTAGCCTTCCCCATTCTTTAATAGAATGAAATCCTCAAAGAACCCGCAGTCACTCGCCACAAGATCCTACCTATCTTCAATAAAAATAAAGAGCAGATGGTACGTGCTTCCCAAAAATATATGAGGCCTCTTTCAGAATTATGTAAAGTTTTGCTCTTAGCATATTTTCAATAAAATATTTTTGTTTAATATTCATTACTGAATCTTCTGCTCTTTTTCTTTCCGCATAAAAATCTCACTAATTAGCTTCAAAATTAATAAAACTGAAAACAAAACCGGTGAAATTTACCATGTTGGCTTGTTATGTATAAATTATAGGAAGAAGGACTCGAGCAGATAACCGGTGGGCAAGATGAAAGTCGAACGGAGGTGCCACATTTTCCTGTCATTATTCGAAACGGGGCGCTCGAAGTTGTGAGAGCGGATTGCGAATGGTGGGACATGGCAATGTTCAACACCTTGACACGATACCCTCGGGTCGATCACATTGACGCGCTCACCCATCAAGAATTGCTTCGCAATAAACTCAAAGGGTATTAAAACTTCAACAGAATAGAATGACATGCAGGTTTACAACTAGAGAGTAGCTAAGAATTATCGATAAAACTATTGAGATATCATCGTCAAAAAGAAGAGTGGAATGATTCGAGGGCGCACTTAGCAAGGCCTCCGTGTAGGGTTAACCATTTAGTCACCTAAAGGTGGACGGCGACCCGAAAGAGAGCATGCAACGATTCGAAGCTGATATGATGACCCCTAAGTTGTATTTGAGTCAGCATTTAGAAACGTCGAGTAAAGTCAGGTTAAGATAGCCATGGGGGTTAAAAACAACAGACAGCAAATGCATAGAAGAAGGCAAAAAAGGACGTATCGGCGCATGCATCCCGTGTCGAGCAGGACACGCTGTGTCGCATTCGGGATCCAGCATTGCCCACAAGCTAAGCCGTGCAGGGGTCCACGGGGTTCCACGGTATGCCCACTGACGCATGTGTCGGGCGGTAGGGCACGGGCCGCGAGCCTTCGAAGCCAGGCGACCGCGGCACGGGTTGTTAAGAAACTGCGGAACAACACCACAAGATCGGTGGTCGCCGAACGAATGCTCGTGCTCGGAGTGCCGTAGCAACAGTACCTGAAAGGTATTTGTTTGCCTAGAGAAACACCCAATCGCCTCAAACATCTGCAACGAACTGCACATCAAGTATTTCCTCAGAACATCCCTATCATTGCTTTTAATTTGGGAATCTTTCGAAAATTCAAACCGTAATCGGCAGCGGCAACTCACCTCAATGCCTAGTGTTTGGAAAGTTGTGAGTTGACGTTCGGGACGTGCGCTTTTTTTGGTCTTTTTTTGTATCTTCAGTTTTTTTGCTATGGTTTTTTTGTTCTTTCCCTTTTTGAGGCCATTGGCAAGGGAGGGCCGGACGGCAAAGGAGAGCCACTGGCTCAGCGTCTCGCCGATACCACTCAAACTCAAAATCGTCTATCTGTAGAAGTCAGCCGGGATTCGAGTGGAGGAACTTTTCAACGCCTCTTGCCGACACATTCCTCCCCAACTCAACGAAAGGAACGAGAGCGTAATGAAGAATGAGCCACTGTGCTTCAGTGGTCAGAAAAAAGGCGTGTACAGAAAAAAAAAATAACCCCGGCCCCCAAATAACATACCTTACAGTACATCTCGAACTCTCCAATGAATTGCATTTCGACCACCTGGCCCGGTGGGGCCACGAGGAGCCATGAGCACTCTTGACCTGAACACACAGACAGATAGTTGAATTCCAAAGTGACATGGATGCGCAGAGGCTTTTATAGCGCCTTGGACAATGCCGGTCAGCTTTTAACTCTTGTAGAAACAAGAAATCCGAAATTCGCAGCTTTGCCGACACTGAATCCAAAATACTTATGGTTCATAAAGCTTCAGGCTGGGCTGGCTTTCATAGAGCTCCATGGCCAAGCGGCAATTCACCCCGAGACCATCATTTGACACCACACACCTTCTTTGAATTCACGTGGGTAGCCTGGACTGCTGAATTTCGTCCATCCGCCGTTCACCCTGAAAAAGTCGCGTGTGTGCAAGGACAGCACAGAACTAATCAGAGCATAAAGGCAAAATGGGAAATGTCTGCATGTCGGCACTGCGACGGTAGGGATAACTCCAGACGAGATGCGCCATTCGGGGAAAAAATTCTCAACTCCTTCAGAATTTCCTTCGAAAAGGTTTCAAAAGGTGGCACCGAATTCTAACCCAGGATTCTCAGCCTACAGCCGAGAAAAAGGTTGCGAGTGCGCATATGCAAAACAGAGCGGGTGTACGTCATAACATAAAATGAATGCGTCCAATGGAAGCTCTGGAAGTGATTTGGGTAATGAGTAATTGAATGCCAAACATTTTTAGTTGCAGCCCCATAGACTTTCCTCACTGAAATAGTGATCAAAAGTCCGTAAGTTCCATTCAATCACCTGAATTCTTCCTCCACAAACAGCACCGTAGCCTGGCATCACTTGCTCACAAAATTGACCGGTAAACCCGTCTGGGCAGCGACATCGATCACACCTGCAACTGCGGGAATATCCAACTGCAGGTTGTTCAGATTTTGTTTTGAAAAGCAACTTTTGAACACTTTCAAAACTTTTTTAAATATAAGAGAGGCATTTCTGATATTGTTACTGCATCAAGTTGTGAAGCAACTGGGTATTCAGTCTTCAAACTCAGCCATTTCAGCCCCTTCCTACCCACTGATTCGCTCAGGCTTATCAGCTGTTGCCTGGCATTGAGTCACTCCCAAGCCAGTGAAACCGGTTTTTCGCACGCCAGTCCTAGGTTGGTACTGGCGTTCTGTCAACCACGGGTGGTAATACTGACGCTTTTTGTGTTCTTGCCTGCAGTGAACAGCAACCGCATACATGCTACCGCTGCTCGGCTCCAATTTGGGTGTCTTCCTCCCCACTGTTCGCATCAACGGAGCGCCATCGCTCTGATGCACTTCCCTGTGATCTCATTCCACCCCACCAATGGATCACTTCGACATAGATAGGTATCGTCGTGATCAGTGATGAACTGGAACTCGTGCCGCATTAATCATCCTCAGATTGGTTTGCGATTGAAAACTCGAAATGCGCCGTGTTATGGTGGGGCATTTCGGCCTTTACTCCACGCTACAAAAACATCAACAGTCACCTTGAGAAGTTTCCTTTGGTCTGAAGGATCACTCTGATCACCACGCCATGTGCACAATGCGAACAGCACAACAATATCATGCATGAATTGGCCTTGAGGCGTCATGAGAAGTAATAAACGTTTCCTATCAAGATGTTTTCAAAGACACTCACTGGTTTGACTACTACTTACCTTCTTGGGTCCGTATATCCGCCTCGCTGGCAGGGTAGCTTCCGGGAGCACACATTGCTACAGTAAATCTTATTCATCAGCCGGATATCGTTGAATGACAATTGGTCGCGTTGTCCTGAACACACAAGGTTAGCCTAGGGTTCGGATCAAGCCGTCAGCACATATCGCTTTTGAAGTACGTCCTGTGTTGGAAATAATTCGTCCGAGATATTCGTACTAAAACTTACGCTTATCGGTAACGGCGGCTCAGCTTCGACTCACGATACGAAGTTTATAGGTAAATAATGGATAAAAGGATAAAGGATAAAGCATTTGCCGTTGATCAATCCCTTTTTGGGATGCGGCACGCATTCTACTTCCATTTGTACATTCGTAGTGGCGTTTGAATGCGATGTGGCCTATACAATGACTTGCGGGGGCCAGCCGATGTACAAGTCAGTGTTTTTATCCTCCCAGACAAGTCTGGTACCAATTAACCGACCCCGGAGGGATGGAAGGCTTGGTTGGCCCGGGCGACTCACGACCCAGGATTTGATCCCCGGACCGCTCGCGTGGTAAGCGTGCCACTTGCCACTACACCACTTCCGCCCCTCTATAGTTACCTGGTTTCAACTGTGGGAACAAGACCTCGGCGCTATCGCAAGATATGGAGGCATTGTTATGGCAACGCATTCAAAACCACGGACAGTCGGTATCCGAAAGTTGGGGTAGGCGCATCTGATATCCAGCGATGTATGTTGGAAACAGCTTATCCACATAGCTTCTATCAAGTGCACGTCACTTCCGGTGACACGCCTACCCCAACTCTCGGATATCGAGTATAAGACATCCTTTTTGTGAAAACAGGCCTAAGCTATAGGGGAGACTGGGGAAAATCCAGGATGTGTGAGCAATTTTCATTTTGCGGAAGTTCCTGCAGCGGAAAAGTCCCATTCTGTCCTAGCGAATCACATCCCTGGGCTTAGTTCTAGATTATGCCCCCGTATCTTGCAATAGCGCCGAGGCCTCTAATGCAGAGCGTTCATTTAACGGCGCTTGAATTCGCTAAATCTAAGGATTTGGCCACGATACACCCGACAAACAGTCTTTTTTACGCGCTTTTCCACTGCAAACTAAATATGGCGCGCTCTTTTATTTTCCATTTATTACCACATCTCAATCAAATTTTTCGAGACCTGACAAATGACATGGAAACCCGTTCAGAGGATAGCATAAAATACTTCCTCAAAAGCCAATTACGCCATATCGCATCATACAGTAGTGGCCAAAGAGGCACTTGGAGAGTGCGTGGGAACGTGACAGAACAAAACCAATGGCAAGAACGTTTGATAGGCACTGGCCTTATTGAAAGTGTCATCTGGGAAAAAACATGGCAACATTTTTTACAAGACAGAGGAAAAACGTAGCCAATGTCATCCCAATCCACAAACGAGTTGCCGCTCTCGATTTGCATCACTGCTGATGGCATCAATGACCATACACGCATTAAAACTCATGGGAAAGACGAAACCCAAGAAGGATCACTCACCGATGGTTTTTTGGTAGTCGGTGACGAATGTGCTGATGGTGTAGAGGTCGTCATAACGGGAGAAGGCTTTACTCCTGAACAGAGGGCATTC